AGCAGTAAGGGCCAGCAAGTAGTACTAAAAGGTATCGAGCCGGAAGTAACACCAGATGAAGTTACAAGAGCACTGATGGAGAAAGGTTTCAATGTAAAAAATGTTAGTAACATTTTGAATAGAGAAAGAAAGCCTCAACCTCTTTTCAAGGTAGAACTTGAACCCGAAACCAAATCCAAGCCTCTGAAAAAAAATGAAGTGCATCCAATTTTTACTCTCCAGTTCCTACTACACCGCAGAATTACGGTAGAGGAGCCGCAGAAATCGACAGGTGCAGTGTAATAATTGTCAGGAATATGGCCACACAAGGTCTTATTGCACGCTTCGTCCAGTATGCGTTGCTTGTGGAAACCTTCATGAATCTCACAAATGCCCAAAAATAAAGAGGATCCCAGCACCAAAAAGTGCGGAAACTGTGGAGGCAATCATACGGCTAACTACAGGGGCTGCCCGGTCTACAAGGAACTGAAAAGCCGCACACACCAAAGAGTGACCACTGCTCACTCACATACACCACCTATGAAATCTACACGTAATGTCATCCCCCCTTCAGCTGTTAAATCTTTAGCCAATAATGAGGTCACCGACAAATCCGCAAGCTATGCAACTGCTCTAAAATTGGGTCTTAAAAGTACCGCTCCCACCAATCCAAGATCATCAGTTCCCCCTCATCAACCAGAAGAACCGTCTACGAACAAACTTGAAACAATGATATGTAATCTTCAACAAAATATGATGGAATTCATGTCATTTATGCAGACAACTATGCAAGATCTTATGCGAAACCAGAACGTTTTGATTGAGCTGCTTGTTGCTCAAAAACAGACGAAATAATCAATGCCTCCACTCCGTATAGCACTGTGGAACGCAAACGGCGTCTCACAGCGCAAACTCGAGTTAACTCAGTTCCTTATTAATTACCATATCGATGTAATGCTACTCGCAGAAACTCATCTCACAAATAAATATAATTTTCAAATTCTAGGCTATCTATTCTACAACACGAATCACCCAGACGGGAAAGCTCATGGAGGCACTGGGATTCTGATTAGAAATCGCATCAAGCACTGCTTCCACAACAGCTTCGCCACTAACTTCATGCAAGCTACATCAATAGATGTGCAAATGGATTCCCGATCTTTAAAGCTTGCCGCCGTATACTGTCCTCCTCGGTTCACAATATCAGAATCCCAATTCATGGAATATTTCAACTCTCTGAGCGAACAATTTATAGCAGCAGGAGACTTCAATGCCAAGCACACGCACTAGGGATCTCGACTTGTGACTCCTAAGGGAAGGCAGTTGTACAATGCAATAATAAAAGCAAGCAACAAGCTAGACTGTGTGTCACCTGGGACACCTACATATTGGCCAACAGATCCTAGAAAACTGCCAGACTAGATTTTGCAGTCACAAAAAACATTCCTCGCAACCTGATAAGTGCCAACTCCTTACCAGACCTATCGTCCGATCACTCGCCTGTACTTTTTCATCTTAATCTACATCCAGTTGCGGTAGATAAACCATTCAGACTAACAACGAATAAAACCAATTGGCTTAAGTACAAAAAATATGTAAGTTCGCACATCGAGTTGAATCCACGTTTGAATGACGAAGCTGATATCAACTTATCCACAAACACTATTGAATCCGTCTTGGTCGCAGCAGCTCGCGTATCAACTCCACAAACCCCAAAAACATCGTACAATAATAGATACACGAACGTTGAAATAGAGCAGCTCGTTCTAGCAAAGCGACGCTCACGGCGAGAATGGCAATCCAACAGATCACCAACCGCAAAACAAAGGCTAAAAGACGCTACAGAGAGGCTCTCAGCTGCACTTCGTCATGAAGAAGAAGGGTCGCAAAAACACTACATAGAGCAGTTATCCCCAATGAGCTCCAAGTTCCCACTTTGGAGAGCACACTCATCTCTCTGCGCACCAATCGAATCTGCAATGCCAATAAAGACATCCACAGGCAACTGGGCTCGAAGCGACGAAGAAAGAGCCGACAGATTCGCAGAGCATCTTCAAAATGTATTTCAGCCCAACACATCATCAAACGGGATCTCACTGCCAGCAACATCAGATATCGACACATCAACGTATGAACCTATTGTATTTAGGCCACATGAGTTACTCAAAATCATAAACGAACTCAACCCAAAAAAATCTCCAGGATGCGACCTAATATCACCAAAAATGATTATTGAACATCCTCTCTGTGCTGTTCGAGCTATTTGCCAGCTCTTCAATGCAATAACGAGACACGGACACTTTCCAGAGAGATGGAAAAAGTCGATAATTATAATGATACCAAAACCTGGCAAAGACCGCACAATTGCTTCATCATATAGACCAATTAGTTTACTAACGTGTCTATCAAAACTCTTTGAAAAATGCTTCTTGGCACACATTACCCTATATCTCAGAACACACAGCAAAATCCCTATTCATCAATTCGGTTTTCGAGAAAAACACGGAACCATTGAGCAAGTCAACCGCATAACCTCAGAAATCCGAAATACATTCGAACAAAGGGAGTACTGAACTGCGATATTTCTGGACGTATCACAAGCTTTTGACAGGGTATGGTTAGAAGGTCTAATACACAAAATTATAGAAATGCTCCCAACCAACACTCACAAACTTCTGAAGTCATACCTATACAACAGGAAATTCTCAGTAAGATGTAATTCAGCCATGTCCGATGACTACACAATTAGAGCCGGAGTTCCTCAAGGCAGCGTGCTTGGACCAACACTCTACCTTATCTACACTGCGGACATCCCAACGAGCAGGAATCTAACCACATCCACTTTTGCAGATGACACAGCGATCCTAAGCCGCGCGAGATGCCCCAAGCAAGCAACGGCGCAACTTGCTACACATCTGGTGGCAATGGAGAAATGGCTATCCGACTGGCGAATCAAAGTTAACGAACAAAAATGCAAACACGTAACGTTCACTCTTAACAGGCAAGACTGCCCTCCACTTACTCTTAACAACACAGTGGTTCCGATAGCAAATGAAGTAACATATCTTGGCGTACACCTCGATAGACGGCTTACCTGACGCAGCCACATTGAAGCCAAAAGAACGCATTTAAAGCTCAAAGCCAACAGCCTCCACTGGCTTATCAATAGCCGTTCGCCCCTTAGCTTGGACTACAAGGTACTCCTCTATAACACCGTCTTAAAACCAATCTGGATGTACGGCTCCCAGTTGTGGGGGAATGCCAGTAACAGCAGTGTGGATATAATGCAACGAACTCAGTCAAAAATTCTCAGAACCATCACCGGGGCCCCGTGGTACGTTCGGAATGAAAACATCCACAGGGACCTTCACATACCACTCGTCAGAGAAGAGATAGCACAAATCAAAACAAAGTACTACAACAGGCTATCAGTACATCCAAATCATCTCGCGAGAGCCCTCACGCGAGTTTCCAGCAGTTCTCGTCTTCGCCGCAACGACCTCCCAATCCAGCGCTAATTATTAGGACCACGTAGTCTCTATTCAGTTCAAAACAAACTGTTAGATATTGTATTATTTTAAGATTTGCAACCTTATTGTTAGACTCTTAAAAAGTGATCCAATAAAAACAAACTAAGCTTAAAAAAAAAAAAAAAAAAAAAAGTAGTCGTTGATTTTCATCAAGATGCCGGCAGATGAGGATTTGATCCAATCGATACTTGCACAACAGCAAGCATTCACAAGAGACATTATGGAACAGCAACAAAAATGGATGCAAGCAATGATGGATAGAAACGCTTCTCCAGGGCAGGGTGATTCAAGCCACACGGGTGAATTATCTGCGTGTCCCCCATTCCACAAATTCGACAAAGACAATCAAAACTGGGAGTCTTACCTTGAACAGTTAACCCAGCATTTTGACGCGTATTCGGCTAGTGCAGAAATAAAGCAAAAGGCTTATTTTCTTTCGTGGTGTGGCATAAACATATTCGAACTATTGAAAAATCTGTTTTGAAAAATTGTTGTCTGAGCAACAATTTGAAAACGTATACATACAAGGAACTCACAGACAAGTTAACGGAACATTTCACAACAAAACGACACGTTGTTGCTGCTCGCTATGAGTTTTTTAAAAGGGAGATGAAGCATTCACAAACACACAGAGAGTGGGTGGCCGACTTGCGCGGAATCGCTCGGGAATGCCAATTCGTCTGTAATGCCAGCGGTTGTTCTTCTAACTATGTAAATGAAATGATTCGAGATCAGATCATAGTACATACACCATACGATGCCGTCCGTGCATCTGCTCTTCAGAAGTCCCAGCCAACTCTTGAAGATGTGCTTATAGTTGCAGAAACCTATGAGACAACAACAAAAACCGTGGCAGCCCTCAAAGAAACAGTATCAAAGCAAGACCCAATAAACGCAGTTCACACCTATACAAAGAAACCGTTTCTTGGTGGTGGTGAAAGTGATGCCAAAACAAACAAAAGTTCGCTAAAATCATGCTCTGGTTGTGGACACAATCATGCCAGAGAGAAATGCAAGTTTCGCGATGCCGTATGTCACAAGTGCGGTAGAAAAGGACATATAGCTGTTGTATGCATGTCGAAGCAAGACAAAAGTAAATGGCAAATGCAAAAAAGTCGCAAATCCGAAGCAAACGAAATCGAATCGATTGAAGCTGTAAACAGTGTTACAGGTCAAGTCAAGTGTCAGCAGAACAAGATTCTTATAGATCTTGAAATACACGGCAAAGTTATATCATTTTAAATGGATTCCGGAGCCACAGCGTCAGTGATCAACGCCACTACATACGCGCTGTTGAATAAGCCAAAATTACGCAATTGTTCCCGAGTTTTACATGCGTTTGGTCATACACCAATACCATTGCTTGGGGAGTTGCACACAATTGCAAAGTGCGGTGAAAAAGAGAAGAAAGTAGTCATTATTGTTGCGAACATTGAGACGTCAAACAATCTATTTGGTATGGATTTATTCAAAATTTTCGGCTTTGATTTCATGCAAGTATCAAACGTTCAAGAGGTGCACGAAGACGAATTAAGTGACCTTTGCAGCAAGTACAACGAAGGGTTCGAACCAGCCATGGGTATCATAAAAGACTTCAAAGCAAGTGTCTTTTTAAAGCCATCAGCAACACCAAAGTTTTTCAATAGCCATCAAATTCCATTCGCACAGATGGACAAATTCAGAGCTGAAGCAGACAGACTTACACAAGCTGGAATTTGGAAGCCGATCAAATTTAGTAATTGGGCATCACCAATTGTACTAGCATTTAAACCAGGTGGCGCTATTCGCATATGTGGCGATTTTAAGCAAGCAGTCAACGCGCAGATCGATGTCGAACAGTACCCGTTACCAACAAAAGAGTCTCTGTTTCACATAATACGTCACGGCAAGCAATTCAGCAAAATAGATTTAAAGGATGCCTATCTTCAAATGGAGCTGGATGAGGATTCAAAAACTATCATGGTCGTCAACACACCCCTTGGCCTATTTCAATACCAGCGCCTTCCCTACGGAATTGCCAGTGCTCCAGCGATCTTCCAAAGGTATTTGGAACAGCTTCTAAAAGGAGTAGAAGGATGTGGAAACTACTTAGATGACATCATAATCTCAGCACCTACAAGCGAGCAACATCTAAAGCGAATCGACCAAGTTCTCAGTATTCTTCGTGAGAATGGTATTAGATGCAAAAAGGAGAAATGCTTCTTTTTCAAGGACGAAATTGAGTACCTAGGACGAAGAATCAGCGCTCAAGGGATTCTTCCAGGCAGCTCAGGCTTGGAGGCTGTTAAACTGTTGCGTCCGCCTTCTAATCTGCAGCAACTAGAAGCATTCATGGGTAAAGTTAATTACTATTGCAACTTTATTCCGAACTATTCTCAGTTAGCCGCTCCTTTAAACCAACTTCGTAGAAAAAATGTAGCACACCTTTTCGGGCCGCAACAAGAACAAGCTTTTACAACCCTAAAGTCCCATGTTATCAACGCGACTCAGCTAGCTCATTTCGATGAAAATCTACCACTAGTCCTAGCGACGGATGCATCATCTTTTGGTATTGGTGTAGTCCTTTCACATATCCAACATGATGGCAAGGAGAGACCTATTGTTTTCGCATCCAAAACGCTTGACAAGCATCAGGTTAAGTACAGCCAAATCGAAAAAGAGGGACTTTCTATAATATTCGGAGTTAAACGTTTTCACCAATATTTGTACGGCCGAAAGTTTACCCTTATAACGGATCACAAGCCACTAGTAACGATTTTCAATCCAGGCAAGCATCTGCCTTTAATGACATCAAACAGGCTACAGCGCTGGGCCATCATTCTCATGGCCTATATTTTTGAGATACAGTATCGTTCTACATCTGCTCATGGCAACGCAGATGCCCTATCGCGCCTTCCCGTGGGCATGGATCCAGAGTTCGACAGAGAAGAAGAAGCCTGCTGCATCGAAATGGAACAGTCACCACCGATCAATTCTGAGATCATTCGCAACCACATCGAAAAGGACAAACTTCTCAAACAAGTCTTACGGTATGTTACTGTAGGATGGCCAGAAAAACTTCAGCAAGGCGAGGAAGCATTATCACCATACTTTAATCGAAAATTTGCCCTCACAATCAACAAAAAATTGCTTTGCCTACACACAGATGCCAGTCGTGAAGTAATCCCAGTAACTCTTCAAGCGCGTCTCCTGAATCAGTTACACGAAGGACATTGGGGCATAGTTCGAATGAAACAGCTAGCGAGACAACATGTTTGGTGGCCTACAATCGACGCAGACATTAAAAGCCTTACACAGTCATGCAGCATCTGCAAGTGCAACAATCCTGCTGCTCCAAAAGAGTACCAAAGTTGGCCTGCAGCTACAACAGCCTGGGAGCGAATCCATATCGACTTCGCCGGCCCAATATTCGACTCCATGTGGCTAATCTGTGTAGACGCTTACTCGCAGTTCCCATTTTTAGTTCAAATGTCGTCCACTACAACATCCAACACGATCGCTGCACTATCATCGATATTCGCCATCGAAGGATATCCAAAAACCATGGTCAGCGACAACGGTCCGCAGCTTACGGCTGACGCCTTTGAGGAATTCTGCAAACTTCATGGAATAAAACACATTACCACAGCACCGTTCCATCCAGCATCCAATAGATTAGCAGAGCGTTTCGTTCAGACGTTTAAATTCTCTGTCAAGAAAAACCTCAAAGACGGTATACCACTACGAGCAGCAGTTACTAAATACCTTGCTTCCTACAGGGTAGCACTTCAAATTCCTACGGAAAATCTCCCGTCGAGTTAATCCATGGTCGTCCAGTCCGAACCGTACTAAGCCAAATTTTCGAGCAGCCTGTCGAAGCCAAGCTATCAGTTACCAAGTACGTCCCAAATCAAATGGTCTACGCTCGTAATTATGTAAGGGGAGAAAAGTGGATTGAAGGATCTATTGATCGTCCAATTGGAAAAATGGTTTTCTTGGTTCGCACCACAAATGGTTATATCAAGCGCCATTTCAACCAGCTAAAACCGAAGTTCTCAGCAAGCAGCTCCATTAAAAAACCTCCAGAGTTCTTTTGGATCCCGGATATTCCGCCCTCTTCAAATCATCCCCTACAACAACAAGAAGATGAACCAGTAACTCCGTCAACCGTTCAGCAAAGTCATACTGAACCTGAGCCACCCGAGAGCCACGTCATCAAACCAACAACAAAAGCAAAAACAACCAGCACGACTTTCATCCGGCATACCAGTTCGCCAAAGTAGTCGTGTTCGCCATGAAGTAGATCGTTTTAAGCCCAAGGATTTCCGAAAACTTAAAAATCCTATTCGTTCTTAATTAAGGGAGGAGATGTGTTATATATTGTCAATTTCACATCTGTTTTGTACTCCTCCATTCTATACACTAATACACCTATGTAGTACTTTAAGAATCTGGTAACTCTATAAGCTTCGCATACAATAAAGTCAGTCTGAAATAGACTGCCATTCATTCCCGCCATTCATTCCCTGATTTTTTTTTTGTTTTTATATAGTAGTATATTTATTTTTATTTTATTGTGTATTTGTTTGTTAATTATTATTTTTTTTTACGTTTTATTTTATATTCATTTGTATCGCTTGTATGTAATTATAAGGTCCTTTTTAATTTTATTTATTTATATCAAAATTGTGAGTTCCGGTAGCGGCCGTGGAAGCTGGAAGATTTAATTTCCCTCCACGGTGCGGTTGTCCCAAGTCCCAAGAGAGCTCTCATAGGTAATACAAATGTAAAACCAAATTCCCCGCGTTGTGTAAAAAATTAAAAAATGAAAGCGCCTGAAAGCGAAGCAAAAGCTTCGGAACGGAGTCTGAATTGTTTAAATATTAGGTTAAAATAAAAGTAGAAAGTATTAGGAAAAGTAAAAGTAGAAGTAGTTCTACTTTAGGTTAAAAGTGAGTAGAACTATACGGCAGGGGGCATGAAACGCAAGAAAAGGCCAGCGTTCCGCTAAGGGAGGGAAGGCCACGAAACTCCAAGTCAACAGGAGTATTAAGATCTGTGATTCGATAGGTTAAGCATAAATGTTACGTGTGTTAGGATTAAGAATCTTGAATTTGAATGTTGTGGGAGTTTCAGTGTTGATTAATGTCCGAAAGATCTTTGTGTTTTTTGGATAAATTTATTGTTAACGGTCAGATGGAAAGGGTCAGGGGAGCCACGGCCCTGGATGAGCTCGCCGGAGCCAGGCCCATGCCGATAGGCGGGACGTAGGACCCAAGGAGGGTCATAACAACTTTGAGATAAAAATTCAATTTTTTTGATTCGTGGTTATCAGATTACAATTCTTTTACCATTTCGTGGAGTGGACACAAATGTGAAATAAGACACAAATTAACGTTTTACAAATAACACAGTGCGACAGTGATTTGGAACTTTTGAAGAGACCTAGTAGGAATTGTTTATTAGGTCAAATATAGTACACAATTATACATGATACATGATATTATTATATTTTTATCATGGTACTCAATTTGTGTTTGAAATATTTCTAACACCCTCAAAATATTTATTTATTTAGAAAAACGGTTTTTCTAGACTTTTTGCTCTTTAATTTTGCATACTCAGTGCATCGATTATGAACATTATTCGAGTATTAATTAATTATTTTCATTTTTTTGCCCTTTTATTTATTTTCTCGATTTTCGCCAGATATTAAGTTAAGTACCTTTACTTTTTTTATGCCATAGTTATATTAATTTATTATATATAGTTATTTTAATTAAAAAAATTAAAATAGTTAAAATAAAAAATATTTTTGATTATTAAATATTTTTATTTTATTTATTTATTCATTTATTTATTTAACAGCTAAACGAAAATTAAAAATTCGCGCTTAGTTTGATAATTGAAGCTATAGCAACTAAGGCCTTAAGCTTATTTGAGTTAAGATTTAAAGTGATTGTTTGCAAGATTTTGTTCTAATTCAAATTCTAATTCTAATTCGCTGAATCCGAATCCAAGGTCCAAAAAAACCCAGCACGTCAGGGTTCTGACATAACCTCAAAAAACCTCATACAAAATTGTATTTGAGTCCGTGAGTCTGAGTCTGACGTTCTGGGGTTTTTTGACGTTCTGGGGTTCGGATTCAGCGACCCCGAAAAGATATAGTAAACATGGTCTGACCTCCAGACCCGAAAAAATATTTTTTCTTGTGTGGCTGTGTTATTATAGAGAGGGCATTCAATAAAAATGTGACAAATAGTAAGGGGTATGTTGCAGTTGGGGCAGTGGGTTGGTGGGGATTTGTTAAGGATGTAGTTGTGGGTTAAGTTGGTGTGTCCAAGTCTGATTCTGCTGAATTTTTTGAAGTCTGCCCGTGAAGTGTTTTTTACTATCTCAGGGGTAGCTTTTTCGTGGCAGATTAATTTGTAGTAAGGGGATGCTTTTGTAAGTGTTGTGCAGTCCAGAGTTTGTAAGTTTTTAATGATGTATTTGCTTATATCTGATGGGTTGTAATTGCATTCTGTGACAAGAGGGAAGTTGTGGGAGTTTTTAGCTGTTGTGTCTGCAAGGTCATTACCTTTTAAACCGCAGTGTCCGGGTATCCAAAGCAAAGTTAGTTTGTCCGTTTTGTATTTGCCTATTATGTTTCGTATTTCGCTTGTGTAATAGTTTTGGTTGTTGGTGTTGTTAACTGCATTTAAGAAGGAGAGGGAGTCGATGCATATAACGTATTTTCCTCTATTTTGTTTGGCGTATATACATGCGGCAAGGATTGCTGCAATTTCCGCTGTGAAAATGGAAGAGAATTCAGGGAGTAGTTTGTACAAAATTATTTCATTATCTGTGGTGACGCTATATGATATGCCTTTAGGTGATTTTGAGCCGTCGGTATAGAGCAGTGGTGCCCAAGCTCTGCATACGGAAGAGCAAACTCCCATACCAATGCAAAAAATCACCAATACATTTGTGCGAGAATTTTTTCCCATCCATGTGGCTGCACTGAAAAATAAAATTATAGTAACATTCACAAAGGGTTTAAAAATATCAATACAATAAAAAATAAAACAGCCTATTATTATACTATGACAAATATGCAGAGCTTCTTAGTTAAAAAAAAACACGAAAAATTGTTATTGTAACTGCCCTTTGCTTATGATGGAACCAACGATGCTTATGGCGTGAGCAGACTCACACAACTCGGTAGGCATGAGCATTTGCAAAAACAAATGAGCAGCAAGAGCAATGGGATGAGCACCACTGGTATAGAGAAATGTACGGTTTTTCATTTGATTAACGATTTCTTTAAAATTTTGTTGATAGGCAATCGGGGTTGTGTTGGTTTTGTTGGATGAATTTAAGGAGGTGTTAGTGATTGTTTGGCTGCCAAGCCAGTGTGGTGTTTTTTCTTTCTTGGTAGTTATGGGGGCCATTGTTATGTTGAGTTGGTTGCAGAGTTTAATAGTGTTATAGAGGGGGGAGGGGATTTTTGGAATCTTCTTGGTTTTAGTTAGGTTTTTATAAATTTTTTCGATAGGTGAGTGCTTACAATTTAAAATTATTTTGAAGTTTTTTTGGGTGGCGTGTAATGCTCTAAATTCCAAGGGTCTTATGTTAGCTTCAAGTAATAAATTGTTTATTGGTGTTGTACGAAAAGCAGAGAAGGTATGACGGATAGCTGTGTGGTATAAAGTTTTAATTTTGTTAAGGGGGAGGACTTGGGGGCATTGCTATATAAATGTATACCATAGTCGATCTTGGACATCAAGATTGCTTTTACCACATAAAGGATAGTGCTAACATTGCATTCAAACTTGTTACTGGATAGGCATTTTATTATGTTGAGACTTTTTGATAGTTGTAAAGTTAAGTTTTCGATGTGATTGCTCCGTTTGTATTTCTTATTAATTGATATTCCTAGGATTTTTAGGGTGTCTACATCCTGTAATGTTATGTTAGATGGGAGGAAAGTAAAGTTGCAGTTTCTTTTCCTGCATACATGCAAATGTTTACATTTGGTGTCTGACAGTTTGGCTCCTAAGTAGTCACACCATATTAGGATTTCCCTAAATAGTGAATTTACGTTGAAATTAGTTATTTGTTTGTTAAGCTTGTATATTATAGTGTAGTCGTCTGCATAGGCGGTGAATTGGCAATTCTTTTGTTTGGCTATTATTTGGTTAAACTTGTTGTAGGCTATAACAAACAGGATAACCGACAAGGGTGAGCCTTGGGGTATGCCGTTGTCTAAGGGTTGTGAGGATGAGTATACCTTATTGGCAAGAACTGATATTTTTCTATTGGTAAGAAAGTTGAATATATATTTGGCTATTTTTGGACCTATTTTCCAATCTTTGAGTTCATCCATGATGCTGTGAATGCCTATCCTGTCAAATGCTTTGGCAAAGTCTAAAGAAATGATAGAGGCATGATATTTTGTTGACAGGGAGGAGGTTATCTGATAATCTAGTATGGCTAGAGAATCAGAGATCGATTTTCCCTTTTTGAATCCGAATTGACGGCTGTCTAATAGCTTGCAGTTTGAAGCTAGCCACCAAAGCCGTTTAGATATAATTTTATCCATGACTTTTGCTATGCATGGGTTGAGGGAGATAGGGCGATAAGAGTCAATGAAGGTTTTATCCAAATTTGGTTTGGGTATAGGTATAACAGTGCTAACTTTAAACTACTGGGGGATATGTGAGTTAAGGATGTTATTAAAAAGGTTGAGAAGTCTTATCAGTAGGCTTGGAGATAGGTTTTTTATTATTGGGTAACTTATACGATCTCGTCCCGGTGTCGTGCCTTTAAGTTGATTAATGGAAGCTAGCATTTCGATCATGGTAATATCTTTTTCAATACTAAGGGCAATAGTAGATGGGGTGTGTGAGGAGTCGTGGGTTGAATTTGATTTTTGTTGAATGAAGGTTGAGGAAAAATTGTTGTCGAGTGATGAGTTAGACCAATGGGTACTAAGTGTGTTGGCTATTTCCTTATTATCAAGTATGTTTTGTGTGGGGTTGTTGGGGTCAGTAAGGCAATGAATGTTGTGTTGTGTTTTTAAGCCACAGAAGCGGTTTATGTTTGACCATATTTTGAGAGTGGAGGACTTAGGGCTTATTTCAGCTGTAAAGTCTTGAATAGATGTTCGTTTCATAATTTTTATTTCCCGCTTAAGTTTGGCATTTGCTTTTTTGTATGCAAGTATGTTTGTCATGTCAATGTTTCTGTTTAGAGTACGCCAACATAAGCTTTTTTCGTTTTGGAGTTGTTGAAGGGTTGG